CACACACACACACACACACACACACACACACACACACACACGCATACAGGTCAAGGAAGGAAACAAGGGAGACCAACTGAACAACTCAAGAGCGGCCGAGATGAGGAAAAGCGAGGCTGGAAGCCTTTTTTCCTCCTATCCTTCTATGTTTTCTTTGTCCTTTTCTCAACTCAGATTTACGCTTTTTCCTTTTTGTCACCTTTCTTCTTTCTTCTTGTGATTCTTTTTCCTTTTTCTTTTTTCTTGTTTTTTTCTCGGAATTTGCTGGGATCACTAATCGGGCACCCACACACGGATTCCCCCGGGTATCGATGGGATACCAGGGAATAAGGCGGACTACCCCATGAATAATGTTCCGTGAGGACAGGACGGGCCGAGGCTCGAACTGTGACCCTTGCGTTAGTACCATAGATGTAAGAGTAGGACGCGTAGAAGTTGTACCGTTTTCCCCTTTTTGTCGCTTTTTTGTTTCTTTTGTTTTCTTTTTGCTTTTTTTATTGTTTCTTTGCAGAATCGACCTGTCGCTGACCCCGGGAGTCCAGAAAGGCATGGGCGTCTAATCGGGGCGGGCCTTCGTTACTTGGGATACGAAGGACTCGGGTATTGATGATCCCGGTACCGGATTCGACAAGCATACAAGAACTATGGGTTAAGGTATTGTGGATATCGGCAAGGCTCGAGCAGGGGACCTAAGCATTAAAAGGGAGTTAGCTCGGGGACACTATCAATGAGCAGGGCGCTAGTCTTCCGGGTGATTGCATGGCAAGGCGGGAGGATTCAAAAATAGCAGGCATCATTTACAGGGAATGACGAAGTTTTGGCGGTCGGACACGACTGTTGCGAAGGGATCGGGGGACGCCGGGCATGTGATGATTCAGATCCCATGAAGTGACAAGGCGGGCTGCTCTTCTGGTTAAAATGGGCGAGGGGCACTGACAAGACTCATCAATCATTGCGGAGGAGTGATTGTGGGCGAGGATTTCGGTGGACTTGTTCGACCAGACGAACGGACATTTCACATCCAGCGAGCTGTGGACTTCGGCTGGGATGGATTTCCTCGTGGATCTGGACCTCCAGAAAGAGTCGGCCGACATCGAAGAAGTGGTATAGCACCGACCTAGCCTCGTCTGCGTACGTCCGGGACCTGGCTCGCAGCAGCACCACGCAACTAGCATGGCAGACCTCGATGAGAACTGAGGGGCCTATGCGGTCTCCACTTGCGCTTTCCTTGCATATCTCGCTCTGCTCGCGTGCATAGCGCTCCTCTGCTTCGTCGCGTCCCTCCCACCACCCACCCTCCCCACTGACCAACCTCCACGCACGGATGTTGGCCCTGCACATGGATCCATGGGACGATCTGCCACAACCACCACGTCGTCATCATTCTGCGCGCAAGAACCCTCCCTAGCCTCGCACCACTCCCCTCCGCTGATACCAATCCTGGACCAGGATGCACGCTATCCATCGCCAAACCCCCCCACCAGCAGGCAGTCGGCGGATACCCCATCGCATAGCGCGGCGCATGCAACTTTTGACGCGATCATCCTCATACTAGCTATGCTACCGAATGCCATCATCTGCGGTATTGCGGTTTGGGCCTGTCAATCAGAGCTAGTACTTTTAGCTCCTGCTAGGTGGGCTGCAACGCTATTATATCTCACGATTGGCTACACCTCCCTAGCGCTGGCACTGTCGGCAAGCGGGCTTATCGCGGTGTATTGGAGTTCGTGAACGGAGCGGCACGCAGCATAGAGGAGATGAGCAGCGACTTGCCCACGTTTTTCCCCCCCCACCCCCCTCCTCCAACCCCCCGCTCGCCTACCATCGCGCAATCTTTCTTCGAGCCCCCTCATGCACGTCGAAGCCGCACTTCTCTTCTTCTCCCCTCCGCTGTGCATGCTTCCTTGGTATGTCTTGTCCCTTTCTTGTTGTCCCGCCCTTTTCCGACGACAAAGGAAAAGGTACTCCCTCTGATGAAGCCGCGCGTGGCAAGCGGCAGAAAGGCCTCAGGGAATGTGCCACTCCCTCTTGTGGATCTGTCGATCAGTCCATCTCGCCTAAGAGCGGCATCAGGGCTAGTAGACATGGTGCACGATCTTCCTCCTTCTCTTCTCCGTGTATCCTGTTCTTCTCCTTTCTGGCTAGTGCTCTGCGAAGCTTGGTCACCACGAGGAGAGCGTGCTGCCATCTCATCATCACGGGTGTTTCTTCGCCGAGGTTTAGTAGGCCATGGTTATGTTTACTAGCGTCGGGTTGATCGAACTGTGTGAAATTCGCTTTTTTTGTAATAATGATCGCAGGGTGCTTCAATTTTTACTCGCATCAGCATGGCTCCGCCCATCCTTTCTTCTTCGCTGAGTTAGCMTGCCTATTGCCAGCGCTTAGCATGTGTATGTATGAATGCGTATGACTGAATAGGGTGTAGACGATTTAAAAGAAAGGGGTATAGGACTAGAGGGAGGGTGAGT